ATATGTTTTGCATGATTGCACATATCTGTATCAATTTATATCCATTTATCAGTCTATATCAAATTGTTTACCATCTCAGGGAGGGGGAAGGGAGGGAGGGAGAGAATTTGGAACTCAAAATTTAAAAAATGAATGTTAAAAATTATTTTTATATGCAATTGGAAAAATAAAATATTATTTTAAAAAATTAGCTTGGCACTATATGGATTGCAGAGGAATCTGGCTACTGTAATATTCCAGGCAAGAGAATGAGAGCTTAAACTAAGTGGGGAGTAGTAGGAATGTAAAGAACAGGATGGATTTAGACATGATAGAATCAATATTACCTAACATGGATTAGATGTGTGGAGGAGTCAAAAGTGATTATAAGATTTTTGAGTCAGGGTGAAATGATGGTGCCATTAACAAACATAGAAAAGTCAGGAGTGGGATGTTTTCAACAGGCTGGGAGATTAGTGGGAAATCTAGTAATAATAATAGCATTTTATGTAGCTCTTTAAGGTTTGCAAAGCATTTTACATATATCATTTGATCCTCACAACAGCCCTGGCAGGTAGATGCTATTAATATCCTCTTTTTACAGATGAAGAAGGCTGAGAAAGGTTGATGATTTGCCCAAGGTTACAGAGCTAATGTCTGAGGCAGGATTCAAACTTAGATTTTCCTCCAGCTCTGTCTGCTATGCCACTTAAGTTGTCTCTAGGTGGAGATGTCTAGTAGGCAATTAAAATGGAGGATTGGAACTTGGGAGAGAGGTTGGGACTGGAGGTTTGGGAATCATCTGCATATAGATGAAAGTTGAAGCTGCAGTAGCGGATGAGATAGCCAAGCAGGACGAATGAAGGAGGCCTGAAGCTGAACCTTTCTTACACAATTGCTTTATTCCCTGTAGTACTCAACACTGTGCTGGGCATTAATGGATGCTTAAGAAGTACTTGAATGAGAAAGAGCCACTGAGATAGGCTTCAAGTCTTCTCTTATATGCCAGCCAGTATTGTTACGTTGATTAATTAGAGGAATCACTCTTACATCTTGATGTGTTCAAGACATAGCCTATAAATAGGTTATCTGGAAAGCCTGCAGTTCATATGCTTCTTAATTAGATGCCACATTCCCTCTTGCCTTCTCCTTTGGGGAACCTATTGGGGAAGCAGTCAGTGACCAGAAGCCTCTTTTCTCAGCTTGCTTAAATATTGGTTTTTGTATTGTGTCATTTTGTCATCAAGGATCTTTCTAGTGACTTTTAAATAAATACAGCGCTTGGAGAATATATATTCATTAATAAAGACCTTATTCAACAAACCAATGGCACAGTGGATAGAGTGGCAGCTCTGGAGTCAGGAAGACTCATCTTCCCAAGTTCAGATCCAGTCTTAGACTCTTACTAGCTGTGTGACCCGGGGCAAGTGACTTAATTCTGTTTGCCTCAGTTTCCTCTTCTGTGAAATGAGTTGGAGAAGGAAATGGCAAGCCATTCCAGTATCTTTGCCCAGAAAACCCCAAGTGAGGTCACAAAGAGTCGGACATGACTAAAATGACTTAACAACAGGAACAGGCTACAGGCAAGATTATACTATAGGGAAAAGGAGACAGGGATGTCAAGTAACATACAATATTGTTGCTGGATTTTAAGCCTTTATGAGCCGCCCAATTGAGAGCATGCTCCTAGGCCTTCAGTTTCAGAGTCAGACTTAGAGATCATCAAGGCCAATTCCCTTATTTTACAGATAAGGAAGCAGACCCAGAGAGGATAAGTGACTTGTTTGTCGGAGTCAATGGTTAGTGACATTTAGTTGTTCTTTCTTCTACCTCTCTGCTGTTATTAAAATGCTAGGGAGACTAGCATAGTGTAGATCACAGTGAACACAGAATTTGAAAAGGAGATTGTGATACAGACAGTCCTGCAGTAATACTTGTTCTTAAAACCTGAATTTGTTCCAACTTGATTGACATATTTGAGCACAACCGGAATTTTGAGTTTGCTTATGAGTGATTTTGTCATTCAGAGACAATAAGATGATAATGAGCCATACCTATCCATTTCTGGGGTTGCAATTTTTCATCTGAATTCAGATGATTCTCCTTCCGTTTTGCAATAACTCACAGGCTACAACACACCCTTCCATAAGCAAACTTCTGGTCTTTTTCAAGGTAAAGTGTATATTTTCTGATGCATTAGGAGCTATGGGCATAGGAATGCTCTACTCCTCTCCCCTCACCTTGTGCCTTGGCTGAAGCTGTCCTCTCACCCATAGCAGTTAACTTTATTGTAGTATTTATGTATTTCTTAAGCATTTAACCTATATAAAACTGTGCCACTGTTTTTATTAGGTTCTTATTTTTTTGTCTCACTAATGAAGTTTTATAGTTTTGTGCTCCTAACCCCATTTGCCCCAATAGAAACCTAATAATTTTTATTACATGATTTTGCACATTGGGGTAATTTTTAAGAATGTATAAGTCACTGTACAGCAGAACTGGTTGTACTTAGGGATTTTTTTGAGTAATAATAACAATAATAGCTAGTATTTATGTCGTGCTTTAAGGTTTGCAAAGCCCATTACAGATGTTATCTTATTTGATCCCCACAACAGCCCTGGGAGGTAAGAGCTATTATCATCCCCATTTTACAGATGAGGAAACCAAGGCTGAGAGAGGTTAAGTGACTTGCCCAAGGTCAGTCAATTGGCCAATAAACATTTATTAAGCCAGGTTAAAGAGGACTTTATAAGCCAAAAAAAGGATTTATATTTGATGTTAGAGTTAGTATACAGATTTTAGTGAGTCAAGGAGTATTTATTAAGTATTGATGATGTGCCAGGCATTGTATTAAGTGCTGGGGAATATGAAGAAAGTAAATAACATGGCTGTCGCCTTCAAGGATCTCATGTTCTAATCACATTCTAACACACAAGCAATCATGTATGTACAAGATAAATCTTGTAGAAGGCATTAGTGATGCCTGGCATCAGAACTTATCTAGTCCAACTTGTACCTGAATAGAAATTCACCGAGCACTACTGAGAAGTTGTGATGCGATCTGCTTGAAGGCTTATAGTGATGCTGAACCACCCATCTCCTAAGGTAGCCTGTTCCATTTTTAGATAGTTCTATTTGTCAGGACCCAAAAAGCCCCTAGCAAAGAGTGAGCTCTGAGCTGAGTAGTAAAAAAATCCATGAGGCAGAGGTGACAAGGGAAAGCATTTCAAGTATGGGGGACAGCTAGCAAACAGGGATGGGGATGAGAGATGGAATGTCATCATGTATGAGGAAGAACAAAAAGACCAATGTTGCTGGATCACTGAATATGTAGAAGGAGTAAAATGTAAGAAGACTGGAAAAGAAAGAAGGGGCCAGGTTGGGAAGCACTTTGAAACTAAGCAGGGATTTTATATTTTGATCCTAGAGGTAAAAGGGAGCCACTGGGGTTTATTGAGTAAGAGAGTAACATGGTCAGACCTATGCTGAATTGAGTAAGAGAATGACATGCTCAGGCCCGTGCTGAATGGACACCCATGCAGCCTATCATGCGTCTAGAAGTGTCAGACTTACAGCCTATAAAACTCTGGAGTGCACAGGGACGAAATTAAAGTGTAATTGGGAAATGTGTAATAAAATAAGTAAAAATACAATAAAACATATAATATCAATTTGTGTTTTTCTAAGGCAGTATGTGGCCTGCGGGGATGTGTTTCTATTTGAATTTGAAACCACTGGTTTAGGAAATGAATCTAAATAATAGAGGGATAAGCAGGGGCACTGGAACCTTTGGAGAATGGGGTCAGATTGAGAACTGAGATGGGCATAAGAAGAAGTAGAAAGAGGCAATAACATGAAGATATGCAAAGAGGTGGGAGATATGGAGACATTGAGGAAGGCATGTCGTAGAAAATAGAATGTGCCTTCTCTAGAACTGTGGATCCCAAACAACGTAGCTTTGACTTAAGATGCTTCATTCACCACAGTGCTGTTATTATTTATCATTAATATATCTTGGTGCAGACACAACCCCCTGGAATTAAATTAATAAATGTGAGATAGGAAAACTTTATCTTCTTGACTCTTGAGTCTATTATAAACTCAGTGACTAGGGAATTATTTTAAAATTATGTTTAACCCTTAGATTGAATATTAGTTATTAGTTTGGTTTGATATTTTAACATTTAGAACTTGCATTTTGTTATTAACTACATTTAGACATTACTTAATATTAGTACCTCCATAAGTGCTTCAAAAATCACAACATATCTCCTTTGATGTGTTATACCTTCAGGAATGATGGGATAAGTATTCGTGTATTATAGCTGAGGAGGGAAAAATATTATGGAATGGAAAACCTTTTTTGGTCAAAGTTTTTTTGTGCTGAGATGACTTTTCTCTTGTTTTATTTGTTTCTTAATTTCTCTTTGTTCCATTCTCCAAAGGAGTGAACATTTCTTATGTAAACATACCCTTAGAGAGGAGTGAAAGATGAGCTTTTTTTCCTAGGGATCTACATCCATTGTCCCAATTGCCAGACTAGTGGATGTGGGTATGACTATCTGCTCTTCTTTGGAACCAGAAGTAGGAACCTGGCATTGTTGTTCTACCACAGATAAGGAGGGACGTGTTGAGATCCCTCAAATAGGGTTTAAAAGGAGAAGCATCTATGGCCAGTGTAAACTTGACCATATTTCAATTCAGTTCAATGCCCTTAATTTCTTATTCATGTTTATTTTTTTAATCCTATTGTGGCTCTGTTGAATTGAGGGAAGAAGGGTTTTCATCTACATGTAGAACAAGAGACCTTTGGGGAATCTGAGTAGCCTAGATACTAGGGAGGGAATGATGGTAGCCAAGAATTCGATGGGGACGGCTGCTGCCCATGCAGATCAGGGCTATGGGCTTATTAGAGAGTAAGCAAAACTGCAGAGAATGACCTGGGGTTCAGTTGTCTGCCTGGGGTATTTACATTATTCATTTATTAAACAACTTTATATGTCTTTTCTTCTTTATTGCAGGGTTATTTAAAAATTAGGTATACTTTTCAGAGATTTCTGTTGCTTCTCCCCTGGAGCCTAGAAGTGAGCCATGACTACAGACGCCAAGTATACCATCCTGCAGGAAGTGGGCCGTGGCAGCTATGGGGTAGTGTATGAAGCAGTTGTCAATCAGACTGGAAAAAAGGTTGCAGTGAAACGAATGCATTGTAACGGACCTGAAAATGTGGAATTGGCTCTGCAAGAGTTCTGGGCTCTTCAGAGCATTCAAAGCCAACATGAAAATGTGATCTGGTTGAAAGAGTGTATCTTGCAAAGTGGCCAGGTTTTCCAGCCAATGAGCCACCACTCCAATAAGTCAGATGATCAGTTGCTGCTCATAGAGACCTGTCTCAAAGGGCGTAGATGTATGGATCCCAAGTCAGCCTGTTACCTGTGGTTTGTGATGGAGTTTTGTGACAGCGGCAACATGAATGAGTTCTTGCTGTCCCGAAGTCCAGATGCCCAGCTGAACAAGAGTTTCATGCAGCAAATGAGCCAGGCAGTGGCTTTCCTGCATAGAAATCAGATTGTGCACAGAGACCTGAAGCCAGATAACATTCTGATCTCAAATAGCTCTGGAGGGCCTGTATTAAAGGTAAAAAATGAGGAACTCTTCATCTTCTCTTGGCCTGATAGGCAACATTATGAAATGCCTACTTCAGTTCAACAAGTGTTTACAACCCATATACCATGTATTTTGCACTGTATTGAGTGTTGAGGAAGGTATAGAAGAAATACTAAATCTAATACCTGTCCTCAAGGAGCTTACTATCTAGTTGGGGAGATAAAGCCATTAAATTTAGGACACAAGTAAGAATGTAAGATAGCATGTACAAAAAAGAGTTACACAAACAATATAAGTATTATAGGGGTTCAGAGAAGGGGCATCATTGAGGGATGGAGTGGTCGGGGAAGTTTTTGAGGAGGTGGCACAAGGAATACAAGTAAGAGTGAAGAAGGGCTAAGAAATAGATAAGGAGAGAGGATTAGATATAGCATTCAGATGGGAATGTATGAACAAAATCACCAAGGGGGTGATTGCCATGGCATGTTCAAGGGACAGTGAAAAGAACAGTGGGAGGTAAAGTTGAGTAGATAAGGTAGGGCCAGATTATAGACTATCTTGAAAGCCAATCTGCCAGGGCCTATCAGCCTTTCAGAATTGGTGTGGGAATGAAAGTAGAAAGAGATGACAGATATCCTTTGTGATCTGTAGTTTGAGGCAGTGTGATAAAGGGAGATTTGATAGGAATGGTCCCCTAATCCTTGGTCATTGGGCATGGGGGTAAATGAATGGCTGGAATGTATAGCACTCTCTGTAACCTCAACCACTGTTCAAGGCCAGCATATGAGCTAGTGGCTTGTGCCCAAACATTGATCTCCCTATCATCTCTCATTTCACCATCACACTTTATTCATTTGTACCTCAAGGTTTGCCTTTAAAAATATAACTAATTTAGGAAGGCAGATTATACGTCAAGTAGTTATCTTCACTCCCCCATACTTTGCCAAACTGCAATCCTCGATTACTTCCACTGTCCCCCTTCTCTGGTTTTACTCATGTGCTGCTGAATGTTGCTGTAGGAAGTCATCCAACTGTGTTGCCTGGATCTGCTACAAATTTATGTTATTGAAATTCAGCTGGGCTTTCACTATAGCAAGAACATTCTTTTACTCCTCTTTAATGATTCCCAACCATATTCCCCACACTGACAATTCCAGACCTCTCTTCTCCTCAAGTCTTCCACAACACTCCCTCATCCTATCCCCTCAGCACAAGAGTCTGCCTCAGATTTTACTAAGAAAATACAGTTTGATTGTGTGAGTCCTCTCCCTTCCTCTGTTCTACATCCCCGAAGCCCTTGACCTCATTCCCTGTTCTCTTTTCTTTTTACTTAGAAACTAGTTTCTGATGAAGAGGTGATTCTTCTTGTCAAGGCTACTTGGACCCTTGATCCCATTTTTCCCATCCCCTAAAACAGATTGTTCCGATAATCATCTCTTCTCTCTCACTCTAACCTTCAGTTTCTCCCTATTTACTTGGCTGATTCCTTGCTGCCTGAAGACATGCTCATGTCTACCCCATTCTTAAAGAACCCTTGCTTGACTGTACCATCCCTCCAAACTATTGTTTCATGTCTGTCCTCTCTTTCATAGCCAAACTTGTAGGAAGTTTTTTGCTTCCACTTCTTTCTCTTTCATTTTTTAGTCCCTTGAAATCAGTCTTCTGACCTTGTCACTCAATTGAAACTACTCTGCAAAGTTACCAGTAATATTTTACCAGACCAGGCCTTTTCTCAGTCCTCATGCTTCTTGGCCTCTTTGTAGCATTTGGCGTTTGACTACCCATTCCTCCTGGATACCCTCTTCTCTTGGGGTTTTTGTGATTCTGCTCTCTCTTGGTTTTCCTTCTTTCTGTTGGACTTCTCCTAAGTCTCCTTTGCTGGATCTTCATCCAAATATACCTTAACTATGAGTGTATGCATGCTCCTTACCATATGTCTGTCTGTCTGTCTATCTGTCTATGTGTATATGTGTATATATGTAGATATATATGTGTGTGTGTGTGTGTGTGTGTGTGTATATATATATATATATTCTCTCTCTCTCTCTCTCTCTCTCTCTCTCTCTCTCTCTCTCTCTCTCTCTCTCTTTCTCTTCCTTCCTCCATCAACTCTCATTCTTTCAAATGTTGTCTTCTCACAGATGACTCTCAGCTCTATGTGTCCAGCCTCTATTTTTCTTCTGAACTCTAACTTAACTGGCTTTTGGACATTTTGAATTGAACATGTCACAAATCTCTCAAACTTAACATGTCCAAAACCAGAACTCGTCATCTTTCCCTCCAAACCCACCTTTCTTCCAGACTTTTCTGTCTTATCAAGGAAGTGTCATCCTTCCAGTTACCACATTAACAAGATGAATATCATCTCTAATTCTTCACTCTCCCTCACTCCATCCGTTGCCAAGCCTCGTTTATTCTACCTCCACATCTCTCAGATATGTTGCCTTCTCTCCATTTACATGGCCGCCACCTTGGTTTGGGCCCTCGTCATCTTTTACTTGGTCTGTCACAGTAGCCTACTAATTTATGTCTTTGTTTCAAGTCTCTCTCCTCTCATCCATCTTCCCCATAGCTATCAAAGTGATATTTCTAAAGTGCAGGTATGATCATGTCCCCCTCCTGCTCGATAATCAGTCAACCAACCAACAAGAATTTATGCACCAGACACTATCTATGCTCATAATAAGTCCTAGTGATTTTCTGTTACCTCTAAGATCAAATTCAAACTTCTGTTTTTGTCTTGTAAGGCCTTTACAACCTGGTTCCAACCAACCTTTCAAGCCTTCTTATTACATCCCTATCCTCATATTCTTTGGTCTTGTTGTTTCTCAAATACAATATTCCATTTCTTATCTTGATGTCTTTGCCCAAGCTGCCTTCTATGCTTGTAAGGTCCTCTCTCCTCTTCTTTTTGAATTCCTACATTCCTTCAAAGCTCAGGCCAGATGCCATCTTCTCTAAGAGATCTGTCTAGATGTGTCCCAGGTAGAGTCCTCCCTTCCCTTTATCTTGTATTTATGTTGTGTATGCTTACTTGTGTACGTCACCCTTGATAGAAATGAGGCAGAGAGTGTTTCAATTTTGTCTTGTTAACTCCAGTGCTTACCGTAGTACCAGGCACATAGTAGAACTTTAATAAATGCTTGTTGCTTGATTAGCTCTTTGTAGTAATATTTGAGATTAAACACTCACCAGTTTATAAGATCACAGATTTAGAGCTTGCGAGGCTCTTAGAAGCCATCTAATTCCACCCCTTCATTTTACAGGTGAGGATGCTGAAACCTAGAAAGTTGGAACTATCTCCTTTCAAGGTCACACAAGTAGTAAGTGAAGGAGCCAGGATTTGAAGCCAGATCTTCTGTTATTGAATCCAGCATGCTTTTCATAACACCAAACTATTGACCCACCCCTGCCTTCTCAAAGGGTGCTTTTCTCTTGGCATCTGTGACATTGCTTTATTCTGGTTCTCTTCCTACTTCTCTGACTGATCCTTCTAGATCTCCTTTGTTTGTTGTTCCTCTTCCTGTCACACCCAAATGTGGTCATTCCTCATGGCTCTTTTTGCCCATCATTTTTTCTTTAGCTAAACTCTTTTCCTTGGAAATGGGCATAATAATAGCATGTACCTCACAGAATTGTTGTGAGGATCAAACGAGATAATATGCAAAGCACTTTGCAAATGTTGAAATGCTCTATAAATGTTAGCTATTACTATTTGAGATGTGAAAAAGAGGGAAGAATAAAAAATGATTATGAAGTTTGAAATGAGGAGAATCACAAAACCATAGGCTATTATATCTAGAAGGGATCTGGTGGTTGCATATCCTAAATGTGGTCATGTGGCCTCTGCTTGAAGACCTCTCATGAGGAGGGAGAAACCAACCACTTTCCAAGGAAGTCCATTCCACTTTTGGGCAGCTCTGATTGTTAAGATGTTTTCCCTTATATTAAGCCTAAATTTATCTCTTTGCAACTTTTATCTATTTCTTTGTTTCTGCCCACTAGGGCCAAACAAAACACATAAATGATGACTCCACGAATACTTTTATCAGCCATCGTGTCAGCCCTGAGTTTTTTCTTCTGTAGTCTGGTTTCTTCAAAGAATCTTCATAGGATGTGGACTTGATTCCCTTCTCAACCTTGTTAATTGTCTTCTGAACACTCTCTAGCTTATCAGTATCCTTCCCTAACTATGGTGCCCAGAACTGAACATACCACTCCAGATATAACTGTTACTTCTTATTTCTGGAGGTTAGGCCTCTTTTAATGAAGTCCAAGATCATATTATCTTTTTTGAGCTGCCACATCACACTGTTGACTCATACTTAGTTTGCAGTCCAATAAACCTCCCAGATAAATTGCTATCTAATCATGTCTCCTCCATTTTATACTTATGAAATTGATTTATTTGAACTCAAAGGTAAGGCTTTATATTTATGCCTACTGAATTTTATCTTATTAGATTTGGCTCAGTGTTCTAGCCTGTCAAAATCTTTTTGGATCTGGACTGTCTCATCCAATATGTTAACTATCTCTCCCAGCTTTGTGTCATTGGTCAATTTAATAAGCATGCCATCTATGCTTTTCTCCAAGTCATCAAAAAAATGTAAGATAGTACAGGGCCAAGTATAGATTTTTGGGGCATTCCATTGGAGACCTTTTGCCAAGTTGACACCAAAGAATTAATGACAACTTTTTGGATCTGGACATTGAGCCAGTATGTAATCCAGCTAGTTACAGCATCACCCATCCATACCACATATCTCTATCTCTTATACAAAATGGTGTGAAATACTTGATCATATGCTTTCCTAAAGTCTAGGTAAACTGTTGATGACATTTCCCGTTTAGTAATCCTGTCAAAAAGGAATGATTATAGGATCATAGATCTAGAGCTGGGAGGAAATCAGAAGCCATTTAGTACCATCTTCTCATTTTACAGATGACAGAACTGAGGCCCAGAAAGCTTAAGTGACTTGCTCAACTGTCAGAGGTGGGATTTCAACCCAGGTCTCCTGACTCCTGAGCAAGTGCTCTTTCCATTGTACTGTGTTGCTCTTTGAATGATGGTGCCATTGCTAGTAGTCCCTGGCATAGAGGTGATAGCTGAAATCATGAGAATAAATGAGCTTTTAAAAAAATTTTTTATTTTAATTTTTAAAATTTTTTTATAAATGAGCTTTCTAAAACAGAGTATTAAAAGAGAGATCTGAGGTCTGAAGAGTATCCACAGTTAGGGCCAGGTAGGGAAGGAGAAGGGAACAAGCATTTACTATGTGACAGACACTGTGTCACGTGCCTTACAAATATCACGTTTGAGGAGAAAGAAGAGAGCCAGAATAGTGTAATACTAAAGAAGCCAAGGATGGTGAGAGTTTCAAGGAAAGGAGTTGGTTATTAGGGGAAAATGTCTAAGACATGGCGTATGGAACCTGAGAAAAGGACTTGAAATTTCTCAAGGGAAGTTAATGGTGATTGGAGGTAGCGTGGTGCAGTAAAAAGAGTACTGACTGGGAGGTAGAGGATCTGGGTTGAAATGCTCTAAGACTGGACTAGTTCAGAGATGCCAAAACACACGGTCTATGGGCTACATGTATCACATAATCCTCCAAAGGATTGTTCAAAGCAGACTAAAATGTAAGTGGGAAATATTTAACAGAAAAAAAAATACAATAAAAACATAGATCATATCAGATGTTAAAATCAAGTTAATATGCAGCCCGAAGAGATTAGTGATCTCCATTTCTCTTTGAGTTTGATGCCACTGGACAAGGTGACCTCTGAGGGTCCTTCCAGCTCTACATCTATGATTCTAAGAAGAGAGTAGTATCAGTGGGTGCAGTAGCCAAATTTCAGAAGGTTCAGGGAGAAGGACAATGCAGAACTGGAGGCAGTAAGTACAGAATATTTGTTTTATGAAGTGTGGCAATACAGGAAATGGCAAATCACTCCAGTATCTTTGCCAAGAGAACTCTGTAGACAGTGTTGGCATGCTATGGTCCATGGGGTCACAGAGAGTTGGACATGACTGAACAACAAAATATAGGAAGTGGAGAAATAACATAGTACTGTAACCGGCTGGAGTTATAGGGTCAAGTTGAAGATTCTTCATTCAAAAGAGGTGAGGCTTTAGTGTGTTAAATGGCAGAGGGGAAGGACCCAATGGGTAGAAGACAGTAGATGTTGAGTGGGAGGGCATGATCACGGAGATCACTTCTCTTAAGAATAAGGAAGGGTTGGGATCAAGGGATAGAGAGAGATTTTTCTGAGAGAGGAAGTAGGAACATGAAGCAATTGGATTAGATGATTTGAGGTCCCTTCCAAAACTAAATTCCATGAACGAATGGGTCTTTTAATCCTTTTCAGACTGCAGTAAAAAAAAAATGAAGATGGGTAGCCAGAGGAGTTAGTCACTCTTGTAATTCTGCTTCATAAATTTTCATACCCCTGTTCTTAATGGTGGCTTTCTAGTTTCTTATTTCTTCTAATAAATTGTGAGATTCCTTAGGTTCGTGGACCATGTTTTATACAATTATATCCCATGTAATGCCTAGAACAATGTCTTTGACTTCTTGGATACTCCAGTAAATGTATGTAGAATGAATCAGTTCAGTATACAGCAAGTCCCTACTTATGTGCAAGGTACTATTCTAGACCTGGAGATACAGAGAAGAAAAAAAAAAACCTAATAGTCCCTGTTCTCTGGAAGTTGTTGGCATTTTACCTAGGGGTTGGGGTGGTGGTGGTATATGAATGAAGCTTTTGAACATTATTAAAAGTTCCTCAGCCCTTATCAATTTGCTGTTGTATGCTTTGTAGTTTACAATGCATTTCCCTCATATTAACTCTGTAAAGGAGTACATTGTTATCCTTTTCACTAACTGGAAATCAAGGTCCCTAGAATTGCAGCTTGTCTCTTGTCACATAGGTACTAAAAAATGAAGCTAGGACTTAAACCTAGGTTTTCTAGCCACACTTCTACTACATCAGGTTGCTTTTTCTAGAGTCAGTTACCTTTTTTTTCTACAAATATGAGGAAATTAGAGACCCAGAGAGGTTGTCTAGCTCATAAGAGCTATAATGTGAGCATCACTTGAATGTTGGCATACTGGTTCTATTCTATAATCTTATTGTAGGTGTTAGTGCTGTCAGTGAATATTCATCATGGCTCATCAGTGGCACTGGCTTCAGAAGCAGGATGTGGCATCTGTGGTGGTAATGAGTTTTGTAGTTGAATTTCTTTTTATGCCAGAATTAAGGTTGAATTGCTTTGTAGACCTTCGTTTTGAGACCATCCTTTGCCAAATCTCTAAAGGACACATTGCCCTCTAGCCACTGCACCACCTAGCTGCCCTTTAAGCAGCCAATAAGTGGTTGAATTTGGACTTGAACCAAGATTTTGTAATTCCAGGTCTATTTCACTTTTTCTGTTATACCATATTATTTCCCTGGTACCACTGGGATCATTTTTTATCCCTGACTTGTCCACATTCACACACACACACACACACACAACCACATATGGTGCACCATACACATTTATTGATGTATATTTTGTATTGTCTATAAACAGTGGTAAGAGTGCTGGGCCTAGAGTCAGGAAGACTCATCTTCCTGAGTTCAAATCTGGCCTCAGGCACTTAACTAGCTATGCGACCCTGGGCAAGTCATTTAACCCTGTTTGCCTCAGTTCTTCATCTGTAAAATGAACTGGAGGAAAAAAATGGCAAATCATTCTAGTATCTTTGTCAAGAAAACCCTAAATGGGATCATGAAGAATTGGGCACAACTGAAACAACTGAACAACAACAACAAGAAAACTGGTTTAGTTTGTCCTGTAACTCTTTTCAATAGCCAAAGAAATTGGTAGAATACCCCCTTGGTTTTGGGTTTGAGTATCAGAGTGATTTGGTACTTCCTTACTGTTTCTCCTATGGGCCTATCTCTTGCAAGGTTGCAACCCTCACTAATTCTCATCAGGTTTTTATCTCAAGTGATTGGATTAATGAGATTGTGCCTATGTGGTCTTTGTGTTAGTTTCTTCATAATTAGCTCTCAGTGGAAGTTGTTATAGTCATGATCATTCTCAGTAGGAAGAAATCTGGGTAGAGCTCTAGAAATTAAGCTTTTGAGAGCCACATGAAGCAAGAGATTTGAAGTGGAGCCTGACTCTAATTCCTACAGGAGAAGGTTGCAGTGACTGTGAACAATAACATAATAAAAGTTTTGTTTGGCAAGTTGGGAAAGCTTGGGTTGGGACTGGGGGTGTGAGGGGGGGTTGGATAGAAGGGAATGTCAATTAATTTAAAATTCTGATCAAATCAAATCAGCAAACACTGATTGAGTACCTACTATGTAAAAGGCACTTAGAATTGTTTTAGAGGAGTGGAATGCCATAGCACATCATGGGAAAGTTTGAAAGTGCTCTTGAGAGCAATTAAGCTTTGATCCAAAGGAAAGTCCTCCATATGCTTTCAATCCATCCTTCACACTGGTTTTCCTAAAAGATCAATTTCATAATGCACCCAAATGTTAGCCCTATAGTGGTTTCCTGTTACTCATTCGTTTATTCATTCACATTTGTTCATTCATGTGTTCTTTGCATTAAGGAGTCCTTACAGCCATTGAGACATATACTCAGTTGATTAATGGGTTCCTTCTTATGAGGTGTTTTCAAACAAAGGCGGGATGGAGTTGTAGAAGGGATTCTCATTTTGGTGTAGCTTGGACTGGTCTTTCCTTCTGACTGAGAATCTGTGATTGACTCAACAGACATTTAATGTTGACTTTGTGGTTGATGATCTATCTAGTCATTAGACTGAACGTTTGTATGAGAATGTTCTCAGATATGGCCACTTTATTCCTGTTGGTGAAGTGCAGGATAACACTGCTTTTACTGTGTTTTTTTAAGAACTGCTTAATTGGGAGATCAGTCAACATAATTTTGCATACCTGAAAGAGTTCCAGGTCAGAAAGAATAATGCCTTAGACCTCTTACAGTTTCACTATAAGGCTCCTAGAGGTGAAAGCAACTGAGGCCAAGTTTACTGGGTAGGCCCTTCTATTTCATGGGAGAAAGAGAAATTTATTGCAAGTGCTTTCCAAATATTACTAGTTTCTTCTGGAGCCAGAGTTCATTTTGCTTCTCCTCAGTGTACAGGAACTTATAGATAGATTTACATAATTTTTTTTTTCGGCCAGGCAGTTGGGGTTAAGTGACTTGCCAAGAGTCACACAGCTAGTAAGTAAGTGTCAAGTGTTTGGTCTGAGGCCAGATTTGAACTTCAGGGCCAGTGCTATATCCACTTTGCCACCTAGCTGCCCCATTTACCTAATTTTTTTTGAAAAGTCTTAATATAATTTTAGGTCAGATAAATTTTAGATCTGCCAAAGAGGACTGGATTTCAAATCCTAAGCTTTTCCATTTGCTCCCTGTATAACATTGTTATACAGTGGGTTGTTATGCATTAAAACCTCTTTGGATTTCACTTTCCTCATTTGTAAAATGAAAGGGTTAGGACCAGATAGTCTCTGAGCTCCCTTCTAGCTCTACATAAGTAACTCAATGATATTCCTGTATTCCTGGTGGATCTTGGGTTCTATCTTCATTGATCTTCCTTGGGGACAAAATGCGGGAGGACTGTTTCCTTCCCCTGCTCCACTGTATCCTGGATCCTGATATTTCCCTACTTTCTTCTTCTTGAGTAGTGACCTACTCACCTACTCTGCTAGCTGCAGTCTAGCCCAGTTCAAATGGAGGGAATCCCAAGTCTGTTTCCGCATCTATGAAACAAAGATTAAGGGTGTCACCATTCTTTTAGTTACCCAGGGACACAATCTTCAATTCTTCGTTCTCCCAAATCCCTCATGGTCAACCTGAGGCCAAGTCTTGTTGATTCTGTTACCACATTTCTTGCATCTGTTCTCTTTGCTCTACTTGCACAGCCACTACCTTTTGCTTGAAGTTTTGTGATAGCCTTTAAATTGATGTCCCTGCCTTGGTTTCTTTCATCTAACATAGACTCTAGCCTATCTTTTCAAGCTTGTTACTCAGTTTTTGTGCCATGCACTGTTCTGCTGCTGTGGATACAGTGACAAAAGGAAATAGCTCTTGCCCTCGGGGAGCTAACATTCTATCAGGGGAATTGACAGACTCACAGATAACTAAATGCAAAACATGTACAAAGCAAGTGGAAAATCAGAAGCTAAGGAAAGGGCACTTTTCTCCTTCAAACATTCTGCAGCTCATCAAATTGAACTTGTTATTCCTCATACACAGTCATCCCGCTCCTGTCTTTGTGCCTCTGCACAGGCAGGCAGTCCCCTTACCACCCCTCCTCCCATGTTCTCCTTTCTTCCCTCTGCTTCCTAGAATCCTTAACTTCTTCAGAGTTCAGTTCAAGCCACCTCCTACATGAGGCTCCTAATTTTACATTAACTTTGAACATATTTTGTGTTTAATTTTAATGTATTTTGTATTTACTTATCTCTGTGGTTGTTGTTTCCTGATAGAATATTAGCTTCCTGAAGGCAAGGGCCATTTCATTTTTGTCACTGTATCCACAGCACAAGGAACAAAAATTGAGGCCATTCACTAAGCTCCCCTTTTCCCCTTCCTCCTTATGTCTTTCAGATGTCTTTGCCCATTATGTCTGCCTTCATCCCTGTTTCACATGAAGAGGTGGTCTTTCTTGCCATGGCAAACCTCTCTATATTGTGTCCTGATCTGGTTCCATTCTATCCTCTCTAAGTAGATCACCCCTGAATTATCTCTACTCTCTTACTGATTTTCAGTGTCTTCCTGTCTGCTGCCTAGGTAAGCTGCCTGCCTGCGACCCACAAACATGCCCATGTCTCCCTCACCCTTAAAAAAAACTTGTCCTTTGATCTGACCACCCCTACTAGTTATCATCCTGAATTCCCCCGGCCCCCGACTTTCATGGCTTAACTCCTTGAGAAAGCCATCTACAATTGGTGTCTCTGCTTCCTCTCCATTCATGCTCTTCTAAGCTTCTGTAGTCTGGCTTCTGACCTCATCATTTCAATTGAAACTATTGCCTCCAAAGTTACTAATGATTTCTTAATTGTCAAATGTAATGATTTTATCTCTATACTCATGATTCTTGATTTCTCCAAAGCCTTTGACCCATTGATTGTTCTGTTCTGGATACTTTCTCCTGGCTTGGTTTTTGTAATGTCACTCTCCTGATTTTTCTCCTGCCTTGATTATTGTTTCTCAGTCTGCTTTGCTGAATCTTCATCCAAGTCATGCCCATTAACTTTGGGTGGCCTCCCAGAATCTGTCCTTGGCCTTCTCCTTTTTTGCCTTTATGTCAGTGGTTCTCAAACTTTTTGGTCTCAGTACCTTTTTATATTCTTAAAAATTATTGAAGACCTCCCTCCCCCAAGAGCCTTTGTTCACGTGGGTTATATCAATTGGTAATTACTATATTAGAAATTAAAATGTCTTAGGGTTATGATAAAAATAGTTTTGATCCCGTGGATCCACAGGGGTCCCTGGATCACACTTCAAGAACCTCTGCTATATACTAAATCACTTGGTCAGTTCCCATATATTTGATTTAATTGAATTGAAACAAATCTCCTTAATAAAAGGATTTGTTCTGTAAAAGTTGGACTCAGTCAAAAAGCTGCACCCAAGGACCAAGAAGGCCACATGTAGGAGGCCATAGGTTCCCTACCCCTGAATTAGAATCTCCATAGAGATGATCCTTAGATCTGTTTTTCCTGACCTCCAGTTTTATATCACTAACTACCTTTTGGACATCTAGAATTAGACATCTACAAAAAACAGAACTTGTTTCACTCTTGACCCTCTCCTCCCCCAGCTGCCATGTTACTGTTAAGGGCATCACTGTCCTCCCAGTCACCCAGGCTTTCAACCTAAGTATCATCCTCGATCTTTTTTTCACCTTATTTCATCTGCTCACTTCAGTATCCAAGCTGTTGCCAAGACTTGTCATTTCTCCCTTCACACCATCTCTCCTATACATCCCCTCGTCTCTCACACAACCACTACCCTTATTCAGGGCCTCATCTATTACGATATCTTCTGTGTCTCTCCACTTTGCATTTCATCTTCCACTCAGCAGCCACAATGATCTTCCTAAAACACAGATCTTACCACGTCATCCCACCTGCTCAATATGCTCCAGTGGTTCTCTGTTACCTCCAGGATCAAATACTCTTTTTGGCTTTTAAAACCCTTCACACCTTTCCAGTCTAAGGACATTTTATTCTTTTCTCCATTCTCTAAGTTCCAGTGACACTTGACCTTTTTAACTGTTCTTTGCATCCATCCTTAATAGGAAAAAAGGTTCTTTTATTGGTTGTGTTCTCAGGGGAGCTTTGGGGTTTCAGCACTATACCAATCAAGTGGGATATTGTGATGATTTGGCTGAGATTGATGGGGCTTAAGGCCCCTGTCTAACCTGCTCCTCGTTAGTGCTGAGCAGTCCATAGTACTGTTGCTATTCAAAAGCAAGTTTAAAAGATGTTCTTGAAGAACAGTAACATTCTTCCCATAACTTCAAGAAATAGGTGATAAATTTATGCTGCTGATAAATTTCTACCTGTCAGCAGATAGGTGGAGCAGTAAGAGTGCCAGGCTTGAAGTCTAGAAGACTCCTCTTCTGAGTTCAATTCTGGCCTCAGACACTTTCTAGCTATGTGAGCCTGGACAAGTCACTTAACCCTATTTGCTTCAGTTTCCTTATCTGTAAAATGAACTAGAGAAAGGAGTGGCAAACCACTCCAGTATCTTTGCCAAGGACACCCCTAAAGGGGTCACAAAGAGTTGGACACAACTAAAAAAAAAAGACTAACAACAAATTTCTACATCAGAAACATTTCCACGTTTAATTATTAATAACAGCATCCACTTTGTCCTGGGGCTACATAATGAAGGAAGAAGGCAGTTTTAATCAAGTGTACAATTTTAATCAAAGAGAGAAGAGAGATGAGGGTATTGAGACAGCAAAATTCCCAAGTAGATCATAGGAGACACCACTTTTGTCCACACTCCTCTTTTCCTTAAGAATCTAGGCCAATTGTGGAAAAGGGGGCATAATGGAGAGAGGGGCATCTTTCTTGGACATCTGTCTGGTAAGATGTCATGATCAGTTACGTAATTCCCAATTAATTTGCTAGGAATCCAAGTCCAAGTCATTAAGGTCTTTACTATTCACTTGGTAGCCAAGAAGGTCTATCTCAATGGAACTGGACATTTTCATATTTGATCTAATTAGCTACCCTTACCCTTTGTTTTTTAGGTAACAGATTTTGGCCTGAGTAAAGTATGCCAAGGGAGAGTGAATATTAATCAGCACCGGTTTTCCTCTGCCTGTGGTTCAGATTTCTATATGGCTCCTGAAGTGTGGGAAGGCAGCTACACCGCCAAAGCAGACATCTTTGCCCTTGGGATAATTTTCTGGGCCATGATAGAGAGGATTACTTTCAGGGAAGCAGATTCTGAGAAGGAGTTGCTTGGTGAGTTGCCTTTCAGACATGACTCTGATACTGTTCTTTTAACATAGCCTAAAATTGCATTAGCTTTTTTGGACTGCTATATGTCACTGCTGACTCCTATTGATCTTGCAATCCACTAAAATCCCTCCTGAGGAAGCCTCTCTTGACAGCTTCAGTCTACAGTGATGGCTTCCTCTTTGAAATACACAATACTTATCACTATCTTTGTCATTCACTTGACACTCAAAATGGACAATTCTAGGCACTGTATCTTTTTTATGGGGCAGCTAGGTGGTGCGGTAGATAGAGCTCTGGGCCTGGAGCCAGGAAGATTGATCTTCCTGAGTTCAAATCTGGCCTCAGACACTTACTAGCAGTGTGACCCTGGGCAAGTCACTTAACCCTGTTTGCCTCAGTTCCTCTTCTGTAAAATGAGCTGGAGGAAAAAAATGGCAAATCATTCTAGTATCTGCCAAGAAAACCCCAAATAGGGTCACGAAGAGTAGGAAACAACTGAACAACAACAATCTTTTTATATTTTAATTTTTTTCAACGAGTAGATTGTAAACTCAGTGAGTATAAGGATTGTCCTGCCCTAGATTGTACTAGTCTGAATTTAATAACTTACCTTCCCCCAGTCTGTCTTGCATAAAACCCAAGAGTGGCCTACTATTTGCATTATTTTTCCGAGTGTATCTTTTTTTTTTTTTCAAAGAGATACTGTTTGAGGAATACAACAGAGAACTTAGGGTCATCTCCATGCCTTGATGAACTAGCAAAGTGAGACTTTAATGGGAGGATAATAGCTGATACTTATAATTTATAATCAAATAAAAAAGACTGTTTGAACTTAACACTATTTAAAAAATAAATACAATGTTTACCAATTACATTTTTAAAGGAGAAAATGAGAACATCTCAGGGAAAAAGCCCAAGAGGAAGGTGTTGAAGATAAAACCTAAGTGTTTTAATTTAAGTTTATCTTGGTTCAAGAATCAGAGTAATGGAATTTGAACTGTTTACTTTAAAAGGTATTATTATAAACTGAATAACATTCAACAAAAACAATCAAATAAACATATAAAATTCTACATAAATCCATTAGCATTTAACAGAGTAGAACCAATTAATAACAAATGACAAATGGGCAAATATATACTTTTGTTTTATGTCCCCTTCCAGGTTTGTCAGAACTATTAACATTGCCTTTAAAGTCACTTTTTTTTTTTTTGAGAGGATGGTTGTGGGGAACACTTAGCTCAATTTTGGCATCAAAAGGAGGTCCAGATCAGTCTTAACAAAGAAGCTTGTGTTGTAACTAGCACTCATGTATGTTGATTTGTTTTAAGAATCATATGATTTAAGTTAATAAAATTAATTAAGTAGCTATTGTATGCCCAGCACTATAGTAGGAGTTGGGGGAAGCTGTGAGAAGAAGCACAATCCCTGCCTTCAGTGAGTTTACGTCTAGCTGTAAAGCAGTTTGGCTGAACAGGCTATTGTCTCTCAAATGGAGGTAGGTACTAACTACTCCATCTTTCCCAGCAAGCTGATGAATTTTGATCTGGGCCTGTGATTTAATCAGCATAGGGAACTCCTCTTTGAACAAACTCCTCCTCTACCAATGCATACTGGAAACTACTGTGCATTTTCTGATCTTAGAAAATTGTCCGAGTTGGTGGGAGTTTGACTTGCCTTGGCTCACATAGCTAGGGTGTTTCAAAAGTAGGACTTGAACCTAGCTCATTCTGACTCTTCCTCTTTATCCACTTACTTACCTCTCATCCCCATGTGCTTCTAGTGAATACATTAAAACATTATGGGAACAAAGATATCTTTGCATCTTTCATGTTTTTCTGAAGAAAAGTTGCTCAGTGAATTGAAGAATGTATTGCTTTTATTTTTATTAAAAAAGGTGTCTGATACTTCTTGAATTGTGACTAGCTCCATTTTACACATACAGTTTACCTGGGTCATGTATGACTTTGTGGATATAAAAATTCATTCTTAACCAATTTTGCAACATTTAAAAATCAGGCATCCTTGTAAGAGACTTGCCTGGCGTTGTTGGTATTGGGGGAACATTTTCTTTATTTTCTTTATTTTTTTAAATTTTTTTTTCCCATATGCTTTTGAGTTGAAAATTTTTTCTCCCTTTTTCTCCCCCCCTCACCCCAAGACGGCACACAATATGACATAGGCTTTACATTTACATACCCGTTAAACATATTTTCACATTAGTGAAGTTGTAAGTAATAATTAAAACCAATAGGAGGAACCATCAGAAAGATGAAACAAAATTCAACTTAAGGTAAAATTAAGTGAGAGTGATTCGACTTCCATAGTTCTTTCTTTGGATGTGGACAGCATTTTCCATCCTGAGGCCTCTGGAGATGTCTTAGATCCTCGTAATGCTGAGAAGGGTTCAGTTTAACATTCTTAGTCATTGTATAACGTGGCTGCTATTGTATACAAAGTCCTCTGGGTTCTGCTCACTTCACTCAGCATCAGACCATATAAGTCTTCCCAGGTTTTTCTGAAGTCAGCCTGTTCATCATTCCTTATAGAACAATAGCATTCCATTACATTCATATACCACAACTTGCTCAGCCATTCCCCAATTGATGGGCATCCTCTCAATTTCCAATTCTTTGCCACCACAAAAAGAGCTGCTATGAATATTTTTGTACATGTGGGTCCTTTTCCCATTTGTTTGATCTCTTTGGGATATAGCCCTAGAAGTGCTATTGCTGGATCAAAGGGTATGCACATTTTTGTAGCCCTTTGGGCATAGTTCCAAATTGTTCTCCAAAATGGTTGGATCATTTCACAACTTGGGGGAACATTTTCTAAGCTGTTCTTTCTATTTTCATATATCTTTGTGGCTTTTGATATAGTGAGAGAAGCTTGTGAAATCCTCAATGTCCTAATCTGGATTTTGAGTCTCTATCCTATGTCTTAGTTAAATTACCTATTAACTTGTATTTAATGGTGTATTAAAGGCACTTTATTTCAAAAATGTAACAATCTCTAATATACTTTTGGAGATCTGTTTTTGGTGTACTCTTGACTGTATTTAGTGGTGTATTAAAGGCACTTTATCTCAAGAATGTAACAATCCCTAATATACTTTGGAGATCTGTTTTTGGTATACTCTTGACTGACTTTGGCCGTTTGGTCAGATTAGGAAGATGCACTACTTAAGTCTTGTCTTCATTTGATTGTCTTTTAATCTCCAGTGCAATTCAGTTCCTCTTCATCTGGTCTTAGACTCTGTTGTAACCTTTGAGACTGAGTTTTATATATTGCCATTTATATTTTTCTGTTGAGTGTAGGATTTTTGAATTGTTTAGAAACAGATCACTTTTTTTCTTTCCTGCTCCTCATCTTGTTCTCAGGAACTTACATATGCCAAGGGAAGGACATAATCCCGATTGGGGAGGCAATGCTAGAAAACCCAAGCATGGAGCTGCATATTCCCTTGAAAAAAAAGAGATCCATTCCAAATGATCTCTGTAAACTTCTCCATGACATGTTGGCTTTTAACTCCAAGGACCGACTAAATGCCTTCCAGCTTGAAAGTCGTATCAAGCAGACTACCTATGGGGAAAAGACCCAATGTTCCAGTTCTTCAAAGTAAAGTATATTCAGGTCAGTATATTTTAAGTTCTTATAAGTGTTGGTTATTATGGGAAGAGGGTTAGGGAAGTATAGCACAAAATACACTGGATTTGTAGTTAAAAATCTGGGTTTGAATCATGGCTTTGGTGCTTACTGTGCAACCTCGGGTAAGTCAGTTAACCTCTTGACCCCAATTTCCTCATCTGTAACGCAAGTGAGATAGACAGTGTGATTTCCAAGGTCCCTTCCAATTCCAAATTCAGTGATTACAGCTTCTGGGATATAGTTCTCCCATTAATAGGCTGGGTTCTATTGGAAGATCTCCGAGTGTTATTTGCTGTCTGCTAAACATAGAGATGATAATTGGACCTGTGGGAACTGATGAACTCAGCAAGAGAAGGGATACAGGGACTGGTTTTTATATTATCTTTCTGTCTCTATATATGGACACGTAGTAGGCTTCCAATAAATGCTTATTGAATTGAATTGATTTCCAAGTCAGTTTCTGTTGACAAATTTCCCTACCCACTCTGAGGTCTGTCAAGATTCTCAGCATTTCTAGAGGTGCTGTTGGTAGCCCTGCTTTCCCTGGGGGCTTTATTATTTTGAATCCTTTCACTGGCCATAGTCACCTTAAGTCTTTAGAGAAATTAAAAGCAACTCTTCCTTCCAAAAAGGCTGGGAACCATTGCCCCTAAGCATGAGTAGGTACAATTAGGTATACAGCTTTACTTGTATCATTAACTATTAGATACAGGGATCCTTCTTATTTTATCTTGGGCCAATTACTGTGCTTTATACATTTACTAAATGTGTTTTGTTGTTGTTTATTTTGTTGAGTGAAGTTTTCCCAGTGACAGCTAAGTGGCATAGTGGATAGAACATCAGGCCTGAGTTCAAATCCAGTCTCAGACCCTTAGTAACTGTGTGATCATGGGCAAGTCACTTAACACTGTTTGCTTCAGTTTCCTCATCTGTAAAATGATCTGGGGAAGAGAATGGCAAACCACTCCAGTATCTTTGCCAAGAAAACCCCAAATGGGGTCATGAAGAGTCAGACACAACTGAAAAAATGACTGGACAATAACAATAGATGTGTCCAGTGACAGGTGGTATTTTTGTCATCCAAGAATCTGTCTGGCTAAGTTAAAAAAAGGCTCTTCACCAGGATGATAAATTTTTTGACCATAGAAATCTCCGAGTTCTTCTACTAAGTCATAGATGGTTGTCCTGTATGGAAGGGAGTACCTATGTCAACAAAATCATAGTTCCTAGAAGTAATAAAGGATCTATGTCTTTATAAAACATCAAAGTCAGCCCCATGTATAACCTGTTTGTGTAGTACATTTATGCTTATTTTATAGGAGAAAACCTTACTATTTTAAGTCATTATAGAGTTTACAGTTGCATCTTTGCTTTTAGAACCCTTAGGTCATAACTAACATTTATTGATAATGAGTGCTCAGTGAGTCACCAGGCATTTATTAAGTGCTTCCTACGTGCTAAGTACTATGTCAAGTGATAAGAATATAAATATAAGCAGAAAGAAAGACAGTCCCTGCCCTGAAGGAACTTATATTCTGAAGTGGGAAGACAACACATAAAAGAGAGCTGAAAAGGGGCAGTGGAGGTAGAGACGTGGGTACCACGTGATGGGACATGGCAGAGGAAAGCCTATGGAGATGAGTCAGCTGTGCAGCTTGGAGAAGAATGAAGATGTGGCTGGCCTGGGTCTTCTCGGAGGAACCAGCCAATCAGAAGGAGAGGCAGTAGGGGCTGCGGGTACTTCCAATGTGATAAGTAATAATAATAGCAACATTTTCTATAGTGCTGACTGTGTGCCAGGCACTGTGTTAAATGCTTTACAATTATGATCTCATTTGAGCCCCACAACAATGTTGGCAGATAGGGGCCATGATTATCCCCATTTTACAGAGGCATGGGAACTGAGGCAGACAGGGGTTAAATGATTTGCTCAGGGTCACACATCTAGTAAGTGCCTGAGGCTGGATTTGAACTCCTGTCTTCTTGACTCTAGGCCTGACATTCGGCAGTGCACTAGGTAGTAGTCCAAAGGTAGAATGAACTTCTAACTTTGAAGAGGTTTTTATGGCATGGTAGAGAGAGTCTTGTGAGGATGAGGCAGCAGCATACCCTGGAGAGGAATAAGGACACAAAGAAGCGTAGTTCCCAATCTTAACATTGTTCCTATGGTGGTGATGAGGAAGCAGTCTGCTTAAAATGATAAGCTTTGTGATACAGTTTCCAGAAATCAATTGTGATGAAAATTGTGATCTTCTAGATTAAAAATTCACCTCTCTCTAAATTCCCCTACTATATCTCCTTTCATCCCCTCTACTAGTTACAACTTCAGTCTCCCTAAGAGTCTAAGATAAGGGCCTGAGAACTTCACAACCTGGTATGTATGTTGGATGAATTCTTTCAGTGCCTCACAGCTTTCTCTTGGTGAGGGGCAGAGGCAAGAGAAAGGATGTGAAGTGGTTGAGTTTGCAAAGAGGGAGCCCCAAGAGATTAAGTGAATCGTCCAGGGTCAGACAACCAATATGTAGAAGAGGTGTGATTTGGACCTAGTCTGCTTTACTATATTATACCATGCTACTTCTCAACAAGTCTCCTACCCCTGTTAAAAGAGCAATAAGTTTAATCTAATATGCCATATTCTTTTAAAATTTTTTCCTTTTAGTTATGAACTCAACACATACCATCAAACACAAACATTTCATACATAGAAAAAAAGATAGCATATGAAATTATGAATACTCAGAAATATATATTAAATTTAACAAGGTGTTAACAAAATTGCCCTATTTGTTTCCTGTTCTGAATTTTTTTGTCTTTTGTGCATTTTTAAATGTCTTATTGATCCTCTTTGAAAATTTTTTCACATCTCTATCCCTATCAACTAACTTATTCCTTCCACTGAAGGCCTCCCTTGTAATAAATAAACACGGTCAAACAAAACAAATCAACACAGTGCTTATCTGAAAATAAATGCCTCATCCTGCACCACTTGGCTATCACTTCTCTGCCAAAGAGTCAGGAGGTGTGCTTCATTATCAGTGAGACTTGTTCCTATGGGAGCCAAGCTACCTGTTAGTGAACACAGATTTCCTTCATATATGTTCACAAACCATCCCTTTAAAAACATAGCACAAGAGGCAGCTAGGTGGTGCAGTGGATAGAGCTCCAGCCTTGGAGTCAGGAAGACCTGAGTTCAAATCGGGCCTCAGACACATGATACTTACTAGCTGTGTGACCCTGGGCAAGTCCCTTCACCCCAATTGCCTCACCAAAAAGGCAAAAAAACCCCAAAACCCAAAACACCACAGTACAGAATATTACCAGGAATTGAAATTAAGCTCACCAGCTTATTTAAGGACTCCAACTCCATTTTTGGAAAACTGGGGAAATATTTGCTTGTCTGCAGTCTTTAAGTACTTTCCCAGGTTTTCCTGATTTTTCAAAGATTACTGACAGTGGCTTAGTAATCATGTCCACAGATTCTTTCAGTATCCTAGGATGTAGCTTTTCTAGGTCTGATAACTAGAACCCATTGAGACCAATTCACTTATTTTGAGTTTCAAATTCCAGTCAACCATCTTTTGTTTTGTCTTTTCTAGTTGAAAAATTATTCTCCTTGATAGAGAAAACAGAAGTAAAATAAGAGCTGAGTAATCTTGACTTCTCCCCATTACCCATTGTCATCAAACCAAACCATTCTAAGTGATATTACTGAATATAGAGTCATCCGCAACTCAGATTCTTTAGAGACAGTGCTGTTCCCAGATTTACAGCCATACTGAATAGAGAACATTTGTGTTGAAGAGACAAATCTTTGCTCTGGAAGCAATTTGGGATTGCTAAAAAGCACTGGGCAGTATCCTAAATGTAATCTAGCCTGTTCTCTTTTGTTCATTCAATTCTGTACCCAATTTACTGTCCATTAGCATGTTGTATCTGCCCCAGATATATGTATGGATATACTGGTTTGATGAGCTGGCCATTCAATGGCATATCATAGTAGGAACCATTGGCATGTTGTATCAATTTAGTTATTCCTGTATGTATTGTTGATTTCTTTTGAGTAATCGTGGATCCCATTGTAATGTTCTTGTACTTGATGTACTCATCACAGTAACCACCTACAAGCAGGAACCTCTGGGGCATCTTACTATCTGTAGAGAATTTATCTTCCATGTAGACTTTGTGCAAGATTCCATCTGTGAGCAAGTGAACATTTTTGGTGAGCATTTACCTCTCTGCCTCACTTGAAATTATTAATTAGAGGGTCATTGAAGAGCATTACCTTTGTGATTGCATTTATCAACAAGCATAGTGTTATCTTAACATATGCCTCAAAAACTCCTCACTGGCAGAAAATCTCTCAAGCTGCATTTTGCTTTACCAATTCATGTATGTTTTGCAATAAAAAACAAACACAGAAGTAATTTCAACCAGTTGTGTGACCCTAATGTTGTAGTTTGCCATAAAGAATCATTTCAAAAGACTCCCAGTTCCCTCTCGTATTTTCATCAAGGATACCCTCAATGTTGCATGTCTATTATTTCAGAAAGATTTTTATAAAGATAAGAAAGTAAGCAAATATGAGCTGTTAGTTATTGATGAACTTTCAGTTGACTTTTTTGGGTATTAGTATAATCTGAGATTCCTCCTTTCCTTTCTCCCCCATTCTTTTGCCATCTTCTCCTCGTTGAGAGTTCATCCAGGTGATTCCTCAATGCTTTCAAGATTGTATTGCCTCTAGCACAGATCTTAGTGTTTAGGGCTGAGGAGCAGCTGGACCAGCTATTCTTCCTAAGTGCCACTTCTGTTTCATCCTAAGTGCCATAATACATTAGGGACTGAGGAATTATGGCCCAAATGCAGTTCCTCTGTCAGTGGTAATGAAAATAGATATTCATAGAAGTGTCTACAAATTTGTTCCTTTTTATTCTGTTTGTTGTTCTCTAGCTAGTTTCATTTAAAAATGTTTTTAAGGTGAAGTGGTT